ACCAGACTCTGAGGAAAAGTCCGACAGACTTTCTTGAGGCTTTTGACGACTCTGACAATTCTCCCCAGGTAAGAATGTCTGAGTAACAGGATCAGTATTATGTTCACTTTTGATTTCAGAGGCTTCACTTTACCCGGGGCTGGATATAAGACATTGGTCCCCATATATAATACACACAATAAGTTTTAATAATGGAATGCCTCATTCTTGACCAATAACAAGTTGTTACATTTGTCACTTATGTAAGTAATTTTCTGGCTGAAGATGACTTTTCTGTAATTAAGCAGAATCTGCCTGCCCCTTGGGCCATTTGAAGGGCTTCAAAGACTTTAATATACTGAGGATGGAAAACACGACATGATGGTCGACTATTCTCTTTTGTAACATTCCTTCAGCGTTTTGTTACTAGCCTTTACATTTGCTCCTTGTGTTTAATCACATTCAATATACAAAGGCAATACCATTTTACCTAGATCATTCAGAAATCAATAATTCCAAGTTGATGACACTTAGTCTTGCTTTCGTTTTATGATATGTCCACGAACATGCATACAGTTAATGCAGCCAACTATGGTCATATTACTAATAATTGTTTGTGTTTATCTCAAGTGAATCAAGTTGTCATCCGATTCAGATGTGTATGAATAGAAACCTCTTGCAATACAGTCAAATCAAACTATCTAAATATGTGGGAAAAAAGTCGTTAATTGTTGTTGATTCTTTGCCAGAAATATATTACACCTTTAGCAATCCTTGATGCTTTTTACTATGGTGAAGTTGTAGGTTGCATTATATTGTTCGGACTTTCTAGCATAGCACCTGTACGTTATCTCTTAATAGTAGTTTAACATCTTAAACTTTGATTGTCGTGTAAGGACACGGCTATCTGTGGTATTGCATTAATAACTCTTGTTGTGATACATTGTTGGACCATAACCTGGAAACAGCTAACAAAATGCTCCCCATTGCGCTACTCGTCTACATTTAGTTCCTCGGATTTTACCGACGTAAAATTATACACTTTAAACATTAGCAATTTTCCTTTCTCGCGAGATTGCTTGATATCAGACAAATGCGCCGCTTTTATTTCTACCGACTGTGTACAATTGGACCTAGCCGTATTGATGTGTTCTACCAACTTTCCTAAATATCAGTGCAGTATCTTTAGTTTCGTAACATTTAGTGTTAACTGCGACCAACACTAGTCTGTTGGTTCTGAGGAGCTGAGTTTCGCCACAGGACCAGTAACCTAATAACTGTTGCTTTGCTTTTCTTCATTCGGAAATGCCAGTGATTTAACAGACTGGTAAGTGTCGTAGCTCACTTATGAATAAACTATTTTTTTTCTCTGAAGCCAAACGTGATAGTTTTTCTGAAAGTGTTTTAAAAGCAGACTTTTGCGCTCCTTCTTATGTTGGTGGATAAGCTCTATCCATGGTGCTGAAAACAAGGACCACTGATACATGCAAGGCAGTTTAAAGGCATGTCTCTATGCCCTTCCACCAATATCAGTGAATTGTTTTAGACATCATTAAAGGCAGTGAAAATGGGAAAAAAAACAGTATTAATATTTTGCAAGTTCAAATCGAATGTTACATTATTTTGTTTTCTATTAAATATTTGTATGTGTGTCAATCAGTGCAACATGCATGGATCTCTTACTCTTAGTCTTACAATAAGTTTAAAAAGCTGCATAAAAGTAGGCTGCGCACTGTTCGGTCCTGGCAGAAATAATGGTTTATCTTCCGGTTATTTGGTTTAATTATATATATCCCCGTTAATCGAGGCGTCATTTTGTGCTTTGTATGCTTACAGGGGGACTGTCAGTATCACGCCATGACGATATCAATCATATGCCTATCATTTTAACACATGCTCTATCTGAAATGAACACTTTGTGTCGCTGTCTACCAGTTTACTGGCGAATATTGCAATGCTGTGGAGCATAACGTCTCCACCCATTGTTCCCAAGCTTTGTGTTTCCAGTTACGTTGCGGCTGTGGAGCGAGCTGTGGGATCGTATTTCTGATTTCTGTCTTTGTATTTGTCCGATTTAGTCCATCGCACACGTATTCGCGAGTTGGACTGACAGCATTTAAATATTCTGGCCTTGTTGCGGATATTTGTCGTTTGAAGAATGGAATATGAAGGATTTTCCAACCTTGGCCTGGTTACTCGCTTTTTCATCTGTCTGCTTGCTCTGCAATCGGTCAGTGCCGAGGTGAGCTATTCTATCCCAGAAGAGGTGAAAGCAGGAACAGTCATCGGAAATATAGCCAAAGATCTTGGCCTGGATGTAACTACCCTGTCAACTCGCAAGGCCCGTATTGATTCCGAAGGCAATAACGAACGGTTTTGTGTTATCAGTTTGAAAACCGGGGATCTAAGTGTTACTGAGCGGCTAGACAGAGAGGGTCTTTGTGGCACTAAACCATCTTGCATTTTAGTCCTGGAACTTGTGCTGGAGAATCCGTTAGAATTACATCGCATAAATCTACACATCCAAGATATAAATGACAACTCTCCGCAGTTCAAAAGAGATTTAATAAGAATGGAAATAAGGGAGTCAGCTGAAAAGGGCACTCGTTTCTTAATAGAAGAAGCACATGACGCTGATATTGGACAAAATTCGGTTCAGAGGTACAGCCTACAAAAGAATAATAATTTTATTTTAATGATTGATGCTAACAAAGTTGAACTTGTTCTAGAGAATAAACTTGATAGAGAGAAACAACAAGAGATCAATCTGCTCCTTACAGCTTTTGATGGTGGCTCTCCTCAGAGATCAGGTACTGTAGTCATACACGTCACTGTGCTGGATGCTAATGATAACGCCCCAGTGTTTAGTCAGGCCGTTTATAAAGCCAGTCTGCCTGAAAACTCTCCTCTAGACACTGTAGTGGTTACAGTGAGTGCTACTGATGCAGATGATGGAGTGAATGGTGACGTGACATATGACTTTGGTCATGTTTCAGAGACAGATGAAAAACTGTTTTCTATTGATAGTAAAACTGGAGAAATAAGAGTCACTGGTACCACGGACTTTGAGAAGAAAAATTCATTTGAACTGCGAGTTGTGGCAAAAGATGGACTGGGATTAAGTTCTTATGCTAAGGTTTACATAGACTTATCTGATATAAATGATAATGCTCCAGTTATATATCTGAAATCACTGTCTAACCCCATACCTGAGAATGTGTCACCTGGTACAGAGGTGGGCATCATTTAACGTGCAGGATAGAGATTCTTGAGACTAACAAACAGGTTCCGCTGTTCAATTCAGCAACACATCCCTTTTAAGTTGGTTCCTCTATTAAAAAACTATTATTCTCTGTGGACCAAGGACAACTGGACCGTCGAACTAGTGTCTGATTTACAACATTACAATCACTGCCACTGACGAGGGCTCTCCACCTCTGTCCTTCCTTAAAACTGTTCAGTATAATCTGTTAGCAGACATCAACGACAAACCCACCTGTGTTTGAGGAACAGTCCTACAGCGCAATGGTGACTGAAATAACAAACCTGCTCCATTTAATTTCCGTTTACTGCCTCGGAGGACCCTTACTTGGAGACAAAACGGTACAGTGATTTATTCTCTGGTTAAGCTGGTGAGGTGAACGGTGCCCGGTGTTCCTTCCTATCCTTGTCTGTTAACGGAGACCACGGGAGTGATCCACGCTGTTGAGGTCGTTTGATTATGAACCAGTTCAGGAGCCTTTAAAGTCCACGTGAATGGCCAGAGACAACGGTTCTCCTCCGCTCAGCAGCAACGTGACCGTCAGGTGTCTTTATATCTGATGTAAATGACAACGCTCCTCAGAATACTGTACCCCGGGCCCCGGAGGGCAACTCCTTCATGACCGAGCTGGTCCCCAAAGCTGACACACGGAAGCTCTCTGGTGTCCCAAAGATGATAGCGTGGACGCGGACTCCGGACCAGAACGCCTGTTTTCTGTCCATATACATATAGTCAAATCCACTGATCCGGACTTTTCACTATTGGTCTCCACAGCGGAGAGATCGGACACAGCGGGACATTTTTCTGAATCATACAGCATGAAACAGAACCTTATTGTGTCAGTGGAAAGATTAACGGACAGGCCCCTCTCTTCTGCCACCTGGTTCCATGTATTTACTTATTTCTGATAACTTGGCTGGAGGTGCCAGAACTTGAAGGATATTTCTAGAAGAGAAGATTCAAAACTGACCTCTAACTACGCGGGGCTCCACATACATCATCCTGGGTGGAGGTTGTCGCAGGAGAAAGCCCTGTAATCTGTTTGATGGAGCAGTTGCCATTCCCCAGCGCTATCTCCCTCCTAATTACCAGAAGTGACGGCACAGGAACTTAACGCAGCGCTTACAATTATGACGCATATCTGACAAACAGGATCTAGAACCAGTGACTTTAAGTTCGTGACATCTTACAATGACAACACACTGCCTGCTGACCAGACTCTGAGGAAAAGTCCAAGTGACTTTGCTGATGTATTTCAAGATTCGTTGGATACTCTAGAGGTAGGCGCAGTCAAATCCCTTAATCTGTGTGGAGTCTTTACACCCCAAAAAATTCAAATTGGTTTAGGTAACATTGTTTGAACACCACTTTTTTTTCTGTAGTCATTTAATGGGGTGGCCTGACAGAACAAAATGTCAATGATTGTCTGTCTGGATATGTTGTCTTTAACCTCAAGTGGATTTTTAAAATGGATTTTCTTCAAAAATGCTCTTTAACCTCTTTCCATTTTCATGCAGCTGTTTTATCAAAATTACGATTTTTGGTTGAAGTGTACATTTTTATTTCCATGATTTATTATATAATGCAGAAAAAATATCCCAAAAGTATATTTAATCCTTGAATTTAAATCGGCCCATGATGATCGTTTCATATGCAAGCCTACTGCTGTGGTATAAGCACCGACTTTAATCTAAATGAGGTTCAGTCAGGGCCCATAACTTATATTGGAAACCAGTTGTTGGTATGAAGACCACATTCTTCCCTAACCCGTGGCCTAGAGTGGTGGGATAATAAAGAAAGATACAGTATCAGCTAAATTAGGTTATGCCAACCTGTGTGGTTTTCATGGAATCATCATATTTCTCAGCTCTTTATCATCCTTATTTATAGCCATACTAGCTATTTCTCTTAAAGAAGTCCTGGAATGGTGCTTTTTGGTATGTGAATCAGTGTATTACGTTAAGAAAAACGACCACAGTTTTGTTATTATTACTTTCATTTTGCAGTTTGGTAAATCTTCTAAGACTCATGTTAAACATGGTCCCTGGCCCATGTTGTGCGATATACTGTGGTAACTATCCATGGTGCTGAAACCAACCAAGCCCTAATGGATTTCCACTCTCGTCACTGGAGTGCAGGTAAACAGTTTTATGAAGGTAAATAAACACTGATATTTTGAATAGAAAGCTGCCCTCTACATTTGTATTTTGCAGTTTATTTATGTTTTAATTTGACTGCAGCCTAGAATGTGTTGTTTTTATCTTTCTCATCAGTGACTCAATTATTCAAGTATTTTGTAATACCTACAATTTGCTCACAGTGTCGCTGTCCACTAGATTTACGTAATGGTGCTGCTTTATGTCACTCTGGCCTGCACGCCTGAACATTTCTAACCCACCGTAGATTGTTCGTTGCTTCAAGCAGCGACGTCGCACTGTTTATATTTCTGACGTGCATTTGTTGTCCGAAGAGGATTCTGGTTCGCTAATTATTTTTATTTTAAAAGTCTATGTTGGAGTGGATTCGGCACTGGTCTTGCATGAACATGGGACACAAAGAATTTTCCGTGCTCGGCCTGGTTATCTCGCTGGGAGTATTTCTTCTGGCGCTGCCAACCGTGTGTGGAGATGTGGCTTATTCCTTTCCAGAGGAGATGAAACGCGGCTCAGTTGTCGGGAATATAGCTAAAGATATTGGACTTGAGGTGGGCAAACTCGCTGCTCGAAAGGCTCGTATTGATGCAGATGGGAACAGCAAACGGTATTGTGACATTAATCTGGGTACTGGAGATATCATTGTTGCCGATAGGATTGACAGAGAGGGGCTTTGTGGGAAAAAAGCATCCTGCATTTTAAAACAGGAACTGGTTTTAGAAAACCCTTTAGAGCTGCACCGCATTAATGTTCACGTTCAAGATATTAACGATAATTCACCACAATTTAAAAAGAATACAATAAAATTTGAAATTAGAGAATCGGCTACTAAAGGAAGTCGCTACCGTCTGGATGAGGCCCACGATGCAGATATCGGACAAAACGCTATACAGGGCTATAGTATCGAGGCAAACGAAAACTTCAGATTGAATGTTATTGCAAAAAGCGGAGGAGGAAAATACAGTGAATTAGTTTTAGAGAAGGAGTTGGATAGAGAAAAACAACAAGAGCTAACAATTGTGCTTGTGGCAACAGACGGAGGCGCACCTCAGAGATCAGGTACTGTAGTCATACACGTCACTGTGCTGGATGCTAATGATAACGCCCCAGTGTTTAGTCAGGCCGTTTATAAAGCCAGTCT